AGACAACCTCTCGTCAATATGCGTTTTTCGCATTGCATTGCTGCAAAAAACGCATAAAAACGATCAATTACGGGCTTCTTTCCCCATTCAAGAATAATTCCGTCAATAATCTCTCAGGTCAGCGATACCCTACCAACTACTCTTAATAAGATAATAGGTTGAGAAGACCCATCAGAGGTCAGTACAAAGTCAACGATGGCTTGTGCCGACCTGACAGCATCAAAAACAACAATAAGTCGCTGCCTGCAGCGACGCCGTCGTCATTGACAATGTAATAGTGGAAACATAAATCGTTCCAAGCACTTTTCCTTGAACGCAAGAAAAATGCGTCTTTTTTATGAAGGTTATGGACTGCCTTTGTGACTTGGCAGCAGAAGCCGTAGATTACCACTGCAACATCGGCAAGAAATTGGCCGAGAATTTGGTAATCATCAATAATTAACAGTAATCCAGCATCGGTCCGAAATAATGGGCTGAACGGTGAGCAGCTGGTAAATCAGTGCAGTGTCTGTATCATGACATTTTAGACAATTTCGGAATACTGTCTGATTAACAAGATGAAATTATTTACACCATATTTCCATTTTCGGCAATTTAAACCTTTATTTATGGTATATTTCAAATGCAGCGGGAAAAGGATGTTGACAGTCCAGCTGAGCTCGATTGGATGCAAAAACACCGGAATATTATTGGAAAAGCTTGCAGAGGAACTGGAATGGGTAAAAGGGGCTGAGTTGTAAATTTTAGTGGGTTAGTCTTGGCGGGTAAATCTTCGAGAGCTAAACTTGGTCAGAAGAGTTGTAAGTCTTAGCCAGAAGAGTGTAAATCTTGGTCAAAATCAAGAAAAGTGTGGTCCGGAAAAAAGGCGCAAAGTTTAAAAGATGTGAGTGCTTTTGCAAAAGTCGAATAAATGGCAAAATTGCAAGATGAGGATGGGAAAGGGAAAATACCAGCTATAAGTACATGGTACCCTACCGAATGCATAATTTACCCCCCGAGAGATATTGCACAATGCATAAAACGATTCGCTGACCTTAATTCGACAGAGATGACCAATACATACGCAAAAGATTGCAACAGACCTTGACCGTGCCCTCCTGTGCTTGGGTTATTTTTCATGAAATCAGACGAACAGAGTGAGCAAACAGGTCTCTTAAAATATGATAAAGTAGTTGTATGAACAACTGTTTCTCGTCACTGAGAGATTTACTGTTGCATTATTTTGGCAATCGTCCAATATGTGTGAGTGACTGGCCGAACACTAAAATGTATACGTCTTAGCTCAACACTGCAACTTAATCTGACATTCAGTGCATGTTGCGCGGCTGTCGTATTTTAGTAGTTCCGCGTCGTATTTTAGTAGTTGCTGATCCGGAACGTTTTCATGTTGTACTAAAATAAGTTGGGTATACTGCGATCGTCAGGCCTAATTTACACTTTCCATTCATAGCAATTTGTGGATCCGATTTTCATATTTCGCCCAAAACACCTGCATATATTCATGCCAACTGGATACCGGCTGAGTATTAAATTGGCGATTGTTGGCACATCTTTTCATTACTGCTTAGTATTGTCATTGTTTTCAGGAATTGTGCCATTTTGTTCCACTTTTTGGAGTTATCCATGCACTTGATTGTTTTCACAAATTTCTGTTTATATCTTTTGAGCTGATACTGTTAAACGATTTCTCTTTGATATTCAGAAACAGCCCTTAGACAGTAGTTTTGTGTTATAAACCGAGAAAAGGCTACATTTTATTGCATTTGTCGTTATCAGATACTTATTTGAACGTATCTTTTTCATCAATTTTTAGCAGTTTCGCTGCGCTCGATTGCACTACCTCCTGTGCCTGCAATAAAAGAAAAAATTAGAATTCAGAGAAAACACAAACAGACCAAAAAACATTCAAGAAAATTTTCTCAGAGAACGCCAAAAGCTGTTCACAAATGACGCAGTCCTCAAAATTTTAACTGAAAAAACAGGGGTGGCTGCTTAAAAGCAAGCTGGTGGCGGGTTAAATGCAAGATAAGTTGTGTAGACAGCGTGAATGTCCTAATGCAATACAGTCCAGCCAAAATTGGCAATAACTTAAATTTGCACAGTAACTTGAATGCCCCGTTTCTATAAAACTATGAAACTTGGATGCTCTGCTGCGTGTTTATCACTGGATTTGGAATTTAATTTGTTCGAAAATCTGACATTATCATTTTCAGAAACTCAAGCAAATTAGCGCAAGAACACTTTTGCAGCTGTTTATGAATAAACACAGTCAGCTGGCAACCAAAAAAACATCTGTTTCGCCTGTTTAAACAAAAAAGCTGTGGCACGGCTGGTAACGCATCTGCTAATAAGAAACTTTTGTACGGCTACTGTTGTTCTCTGACAGGGCTACATATTCCAATGACCAATGATCACGTCCTGGAGGGCGTTAGTTAAAGGGGTTTTTGTAAAGACTTATCATTTCGTATTTTTTTATGGAAAAAAAGAAGGGCAAAATTCGTCACTGCCAAAAAATAAAACAAGCTTGCAAAAACATGCTTCGTCAATTTCCTTCGCAGTAAGCAAAATACTCCTCTTCCTCTGCTCTTGAAATCCGAACATTCTCAAGAAGCATCCCGGATCGAACTGGTCAAGATCCTCCGGCATCGCACGGCCCCTTGTTTCCGGTGCAGTGACCAGCAGTAAGGCAGCGAAAAACGAGAAAATCGTTACTGCTGCTTGCGGCGCGCGGTCGTTAAGATTCTTCTGTAACAGTGCTTAAATGCTTCGACAATAAAGATTTTGATAATGATATACGCATAAAATCTGGCTTCTCAAAATAACACTAGAAACCTCAGCCCTATTTTTCTAACTCTTCTAAAACTACGTAGAAAAACTTAATGATTTCTTGTCTTGGAGTATCAGGATGCGGAAAGCACATGGTCACTGTGGTATTCAAGCATATCAAGAAATGTACATTTCAAAAGCGCAACCACATTCGTTCTCTCGAAAAGGCCAGACTATTGGAAAATGGCTCAAACATTAGCAGATGACAACATCAGCCGACGGTAAAGCTCTTTTTTTTAAAAGTTTCATAGAAGCGAGTTCATGATGCTTTTAACTCTTAATATGGGCCAGTACCAGCTTACCACTGAAAAGAATGATCGAATCGTAAAGGATTAGCCGCTCCACTGGCAAGATTGAACCGAAGATCTACTCTCACTGCGTACTGTTCAATAGTAGTGGCGCTATAAAAAATGCCTTCTGCTTCAGCCGAGAGGAAATTTGTAACGTACAAGTAAAATCAGATAAGGTGCTGAGATGGAGCCAGCTTCTGCGGCAAATTGCACCGCTCCAAAAAATGTATTCCGAATTGTTGTTGGACTCATTTCGGCCAACAGAAGTGGCTGGGCAGCCCAGATGAAGCTGTTGAAGAGTTTCGCTACCACTGCAAACGATATCTGCACCGGGCCGGGACCTGCAACAAATTTGCTCTTGTTGATTTTACGACCGATGAAGACGAACCTCGACATCCAGCATGAGCAGTAGGTTCTATTTTGCTGCTGCATTACGAGCTCTGACATCTGACTTTGACTAAACAAGAGCTGCAACTCGAGATTATTTTGTTGTTTTTTTATAATTTTTTTTTGTTTTCTTCTGCTGTGCTCTTCGCATCAGAACACTGTTGAAGAATATTGTGAATTTGAACCAGTGATTAACTAGTAATCGCTCCCAGTAACAAGTATACATTCAAGTCAGCTTATTTAGAGTACTTTTTGCCATTAAATTATAATCGAATTTACTTCTTTTATAGCTTCTTTTCTCCGTAAAATACATTCAGGCAAAAGAAATTTCCGAATTCCAATTTTCGAAAAAAATGCAAAAATTTCTTTTCTGAAAAAATACATAGATTTTTTTGAAACATGAATATCTGAAAAAAGCAAAAATTTTTCAAAAGTGAAGAGGAAGCTCTAATTCAAAAAGGGTTTGCAGCGTAGTTCTCGAATCATCACAGGTGCATTATTGATACTGTTTATTTATAATCTGAAAAATCTTAACTTCAAGAGCAAAACTACCTGGGAAGAGAACGGCAAGGAAGAGGAAAAGAGACTGGAACAGGAAGGACCACATGCTGATCGAGCGTCGTCCGAATTTCTGCAGCAACAAAACAGCTAGCAGACCGGCTGGCAGCTCAGTGAAGCCGGATAGGAAGTAACCCGTATAGCTATCCTCACTCAACGTCGTGCTCAGCAACGCCATGCCCCAGTAGGATATGTTCATTGTAGCCCTGAAGTTCCATTCAGCCACTTTGTTGCAGTGTATAGGTGATATTTTGATAAAACTAAGTCCTCTTTGGGCTTCCAGAAACTGAATAAAGACAAACGTTGCAAAATTCTTGTACCATTTCTGTCTCATAATTTCAGAAGGAATTTTACATCAAAGTCAAAAGTCAAATCTCTTCACGTATTCGTTCTCTGCGAAAGACGAAGGCACTCGAGAACCAGCCTGAATCATAGCAAATGCTAACAGCAACCACCCGCTGACAAGTATTTTGATGCTTACTTTTTTGACGACTGCTTAGAAGCAATCGAATGGCTGAACTGACTATTTGCTCTGTGTTAATATCAATTTACCATCAAAGCGAATGAACGAATCACAGACAGCTTGACAGCCCTACTGGCGTTTCGAGCCCTAGCCCTTACAAACGGGACTAGAATTCGAATTGCCAATAAGACTACAGAGTTCTTTGTTTCCTGCAGATGCTGATGCCTTTTTTTTAAAAATTCTCTTTTTAAGTTTTAAATTTCTCCCCTTCTCGTTTGAAGCATAAAACGCACATCACATAACACTGTACCAACAGATGGAAGAGCGCCACTTTGTTGCGTATAATATCCATAAAAGTACGTGGCTTGTAATGCGCCTCCAACTGCACATGCGATTCGCAGTTGCTCAGATTGATTTTCATGTTGTTATAGTGACAAGCATCATCGATATACCTGAAAACGAATAAAGTAGCGAATCATTATAACTATATTTAGTAATGGCACATGCCAGGAAAACAAACTGAATCGCCATCAGCTCGGGACGAGAGAATCAACGAAAATGTTTGCAATAAATGAAAAAATCATTATTTCCTCCTGGTAAAATCATTATTTTGTTAACCATCATTTTCTCAGTTATGATTCCGATCTTGTGCTAATAATGTTACTTCCAAGTGTTTTCATCTTTCATAAACATTGAAATGATACTTTCGGTTTGTACCGGTTTCGAAAGATTTCGATTCGTTTTTCACAACTTTAACACATCTGTTGCAAAAGGAAGAAAGAGCA